CAGATTTAGCTATACTTACATTAGAATGCTTGTAAGGCTAAAACTGAGACTGAAAGAAGAAACTGATAAATACTAAGTATTAGTTTTGACCTATCAGAATGAATGAATAAATGAAGAAAATTTAGATCATTGCTAATTATAAGGTTAAGTGAAATTAAATGAAGTCATTATATCAGTCACTGAAGTCGAAAGTTTTCTATGTTATGTTATGTAATTCTAATAGATTGTAAAGCGATGCTGAAATTCTTACTTCCTGGTTCGAACACTGTTACATTTCTCTTTACTTGAAGATCTGATAGTCATGAAGAACTAGCTTTGGTTGGTGACAATATCCCACAGGGTATCTAACTTAATTTAAACAATTTCAATACCATAAAAGCATTATAGATAACGCATTTCGGAAAATGACAACAATATTGTATACATTAGCAACGAGGTAATAGGAATCACGTACCAGACAAGAAGTATAAGTCGACAAAATAGAAGTGTTTAGTACGGGGTTGTAGAGATTATTGAATTTCACTGAATTCGTGAACCGATCTAAGTTAGACCACTGTTAAAAACCTGGAAGCATTAGACGGCCGTTCCGTCTGCGGTTCAGTAGTGAGCATCCAAGACCCCCCACGCATGGATCGAAAACAGCACCTCCAGTTTCGCATGCGAACACAACCACTAAACCCCTGGACTACTGAGCTGGCATCTAACGGTGTTAATTTTTAATCTCAATCAATCGACGATATCGTGTGATCATCTTCCATTGCTTCCACTGGCTCACACCTGACACAGTCAAACTCCACTAGTCACGGCTCCTCACTAGAACACAGGGACATTTCCTCTCGAAGCTAGTCACCAGGGTGCACATGATAATTTCCAATAGAGATGCCGGCTCTGGGTTCGATTCCTGCTTCTGGGGTCGTGGATAAGCACTGCTGAGCCCCAGATGAAACGGCCATCCAATGCTTCCAAGCTTTTAATGGTAATTTAACTTCGAACGATTCGTGATTTCAAAGAAAAATATAAATGAATTAGTCATCAATTATCTGTGTGAGAAAATCTACTAGACAGGAATAAAATTAATGATGCTATGGACAAAACTTCAATGGTTTCTATCATTGAATGAACCAATAGACATAAAGCAAACATTACTGTTACTCACCAAAACAATAATTAATCACAGTTATGAGATCAAATGAACACTGTACAATAATCTCATCACATTGTTGTCAAGTTCAAAGAAACACACATGAGAAAAAAACCGATCATTTATTACTAACACCATAGTTGTATGATTCAAATCAAAAAGGAACAAACAGACAGGTGTTAGTTACAAAAGACCTCAAATTACAAACAGTTTTAGCCCTACAATGCATGTAGTCCATTCTAAATAAAACAATTTATGTAAGCATAATACATAGTTAAAAATGAAGATAGGGAAAATGCTAATCATAATAAAGAGTGAAAAACATGAACAAGAAAAGTAAGACTTTTCAAATATTGTTCTTCTCATTATCGCATATAGAATACGGAATAAAAGCCGCTTCATGGAATTTTTATACAGATATTCGCATAGAAACAAGATTTGCTATTGAAATGTACATTTTAAATGAAATACCATTATGAATTGAAATACATTCTATATAAAAAATCACTGAAAGCTACTTGGATATTTCGTTCTAGTTTATTCGTAAGAATTTCTTGATTGTACACACATAATGGATGATGTTGAAGAGATTGTAGACAATAAGATTTCGTAAATGTTGAGACTTATGATTAGCAATAATCCCAATCAAATCTGTTGTTAGTTCATGATAAAAATTATCTCTCAGATCAGTATTTACATAAGATAGTTCATTTCTAGGCGAACAAAATTTTTCCAATAGTTGAGATCATGAGTCAATTGAAGCTAGACAACAATGAAAAACCTGGAAGAATAGGATGGCCGTTTCATCCTATTGTGGCACTCCTCAGCAGTGCGCATCCACGATCACGCCCCTGCCAGATTCCAACCATAGATCTATCAGTCTGGCACACGAGCGCTTAACCTCTAAACCACTGAACTGGCCGGTATCCAACGATGTTAATGTCTAACTTCAACTAATCCACGAAATTCGCAACATTCTCCAGTGTTGCAAACAATGATATCCACACGGGACTGTGGCAAAACAAGACTGGTGAACACGTATCACGCAACCAAATTAGTGAGTGGCTATTCAAGTTCTTTTTTTACAAATTAACAAACATATCTTAAATTCATTTTAATAATAAGACAATCACTGGCATAAAGTAAGGTGCGTTTTACTTCTCATACATCACTTCATCTGCTATGAAAGCATATATATATCATTTAGTTATGACTATCATTTGACGGAAAAACCCCTTGAGACGACATATTATTTAATCTTCCTGACAAAAATAGGGAACATTTGTAAATGAGCTCCTTTAAATTAAATATAGAGACTCATTTATTGGTTATATAGATGAAGCTTTAAATTACATTCCTAGTAAACTAATCATGATAGTTGCATAAATATTTTCTACATGGGTTTCATCGAATGTTCTCGAAAATAAAACTCATTAAAAGCCTACGAACTCATTCAGTAACCAACCTGTGTACAACCATTCCTTACTGATCATGAACGAAAAAAGAATAATACCTGCATAAACTTCACTGAACTCATTACGAAACAATTTAATAAGGAGGATCAAAAGCAGTTAATAAGAAATTATCAAAAACTGAGATTTTCTCTTAGACAATTAAAATGTGAAATTCAAAAAGAACAATATTGAAAAACAATAAAATCAATAATAAATTTAGTTACCATGTCAAAATATTAAAAAAAAAGGACTTACCTTTTTTTTATCAAAGTCAATTAAAGATCCTTAATGGAATAGAATTCTAGAATTGAACACCCCAATTTAATCCACTTTATAATAAAATGTATGATAAATGAATTCTTATTATAAACAAAAGCATTTTCTAAACCAATAATATAAAAGATTTTTAAACCAATCAAATGATTGAAAAAATTTGACCTCCCCCTAATCTAAATTATTTATCTGGTTTTTGATTGGTTCATTGATAATCATGACCTTTGTGCATAGTTAAAGATAATAATAATGGGTGACTAGGTGAATCTAGGTCAACTTAATAAATCATATATGGAAACATTAGCTTTGTTCCTTCTTAAATGTTTAAGTACTAATGCTTTGTTTAATCTTTCTTTGCTGACAAATGCCAAATAACAGGAAACCTGGGTCTAGGGGTGTCTTGTTGACTAACTACCCCCCAACCACCATTTTATTCTTTCCTCCATGTGGGATCTAGAGGGTATTCATAAATGATAAATTATTGGTTACAATTATTATTATTATTTAGCTTCAATGAATTAAACATGAATCAGAACTTCAACACATGATGTAATTGTAACTCAGCAAAATACATTAAGCCAAGCATAAAACATTTTTTTATTGAGATCATGAATTGACTGATGATAGACTAGCATTGAAAACCTGGAAGCACTGAACGGCCGTTTCGTCCTAGTATGGGATACCTCAGTGATATGTACTTATGACACTGTACGCGAGATCCTAACTCAAGACCTTCAGTTTCTGGCGCAATCACTTAAACTTTAAACTTTTGATCTGATATCTAAGGCTGTTAATGTCTAACTTTAACCAATCACAAAATTGCGCGCGAGACCGAATATCCTGCATTTGAATCCCGAGGGTGGTATAGTGGATGTGCACTTCTGAAGAGTTCCATACTAAGACGAAACGACCGTTCAATGCTACCAGGTTTTTAATGACAGCCTAACATCAATCGACTCATGATCTTAATAAAAAAACTAAACCACCTCCACAACCCCATACTAATAATTACAATGTGCTCACTAGTGACAAGCTTCGTGACGGAGTTCTAGCGAGAAGTTCAGCTTTCACCAAACCAACAATCAAACAATGAATGAAACTCAATTTCAGCACACAATTGTTCATATACGTAATAGATAACCACTGTTACGTTAAATAAGGATAAATTTTCAGTTATCTCCCATTCAGTCCATCGAATTGATAGTGTTCATCACATAAAATGTAACAAAATAAGATAGAGAAGTCTTGTTATTAAGATAGGTAGCATTTGTAATGCTGTAACCTAACTCACAAATTTCGGATTCCAGTGAGATTGGTTATATGGTAGGTGAAATAATACCAACGTTAATTGAAGAAACTTAAGTGAGGGAAATCTCATGTATAACTTGTTTAAAATATTACCAAATTAGTATTTTGATCCATATAGAAGTTGTCTATGGAACATGAAAATAATTACTCGAATGTTTTATGACGAAACCGAAACATTTTGTACTATGTCCTAGTGTCGTTGCTTTCATAAAAGCTTCCCAATATGTGAATAGTTTGATGTATACTTTACTGATTACTACTGATATGATTCATTCCTCTGTCCTAGATTCATACATAACCTTATCTTAGTGTGTACAATTGATAAGAATTAATGGATATACATTCGTGATGTTTCGTCAGATCAGCAAATCATTGTCGACCAATTATTTCGATGGAGTTTTGTTCTCTGAGATGGATGGTACGGTCGTAGTAGAAGTCTCATTGAAGTTTATGCTGATGATGTCGTTCAGAAGAACGATGAAAGCTCCACGACCAAACCATCCAGCTCAGAGAACAAAACTCCATCAAAATCATCCAACTGAGATACAAATCTTCTCGACCAATTATTTCCTTAGTTTAGGTCATATTATAACTACCCATTCATGATAGCACAATGGATTTAACTGAGGCTCTAAGGTAATGTTATGATCATAATACCATTCAGTATATATTGGTCAATATTTTCAACTCCAATCAATTTCTGATCTACGAACGTCCAGTTGGTGACTACTTTAATATCGACTTACATTTAGTTAACATTTAAGACACTATTCAATCTGAAATACAAACAGTCATTCCGGTGATTATATTATACATACTTGTTACTAACTACTACTACTACTACTACTACTACTACTACTACTACTACTACTACTACTACTACTACTACTACTACTACTACTACTACTACTACTACTACTACTACTACTACTACTACTACTACTACTACTACTACTACTACTACTACTACTACTACTACTACTACTACTACTACTACTACTACTACTACTACTACTACTACTACTACTACTACTACTACTACTACTACTACTACTACTACTACTACTACTACTACTACTACTACTACTACTACTACTACTACTACTACTACTACTACTACTACTACTACTACTACTACTACTACTACTACTACTACTACTACTACTACTACTACTACTACTACTACTACTACTACTACTACTACTACTACTACTACTACTACTACTACTACTACTACTACTACTACTACTACTACTACTACTACTACTACTACTACTACTACTACTACTACTACTACTACTACTACTACTACTACTACTACTACTACTACTACTACTACTACTACTACTACTACTACTACTACTACTACTACTACTACTACTACTACTACTACTACTACTACTACTACTACTACTACTACTACTACTACTACTACTACTACTACTACTACTACTACTACTACTACTACTACTACTACTACTACTACTACTACTACTACTACTACTACTACTACTACTACTACTACTACTACTACTACTACTACTACTACTACTACTACTACTACTACTACTACTACTACTACTACTACTACTACTACTACTACTACTACTACTACTACTACTACTACTACTACTACTACTACTACTACTACTACTACTACTACTACTACTACTACTACTACTACTACTACTACTACTACTACTACTACTACTACTACTACTACTACTACTACTACTACTACTACTACTACTACTACTACTACTACTACTACTACTACTACTACTACTACTACTACTACTACTACTACTACTACTACTACTACTACTACTACTACTACTACTACTACTACTACTACTACTACTACTACTACTACTACTACTACTACTACTACTACTACTACTACTACTACTACTACTACTACTACTACTACTACTACTACTACTACTACTACTACTACTACTACTACTACTACTACTACTACTACTACTACTACTACTACTACTACTACTACTACTACTACTACTACTACTACTACTACTACTACTACTACTACTACTACTACTACTACTACTACTACTACTACTACTACTACTACTACTACTACCAATTACCACAAAAACTAACTGTAGATTTTCTTGCCACTTGTTTCTAACACCCTTGTACCAGCACATTACACTAAGATGTTGAGTGATTTTGTCTAATGTTCACATTAAAAAATTATTCAATAAAACTCAATTAATACTATTTGTTAAATATCTTAGTATCAACTATTGATTGATTACTGGATGGTAATCAATGTCATGTATGTCATGTACTTCTTAGTGCAGATCGAATCCTCCAGACCAAGTTGTAATGTAGCCACTAGTCTAGGTGACTCAACAGTGTATGCACTATATTGAGATAAGATGATGTTTGGAGATAGTCAACAGGAAACCCTGAACCTAGGTTTGGTGCTATTTGACACACGTCAGCAACATAGTGAAACTAAGATGGTCAATGATTTAATCTAATGGTCATATTACAAATTAATCAATAAAACTCGATCAATACTAATGGTTAATTATCTCAGTAATGATTATTACTCAATAACCGATTCATTCTTTATATTTTATCTAAAAAAAATTATATTGAACAAAAGTAATTAAATAACATAGTAAAAAAGAGTATAGAAGGGATCAAAATCATCTATATTTTGATATAAGAAGAATACAATGTTACGTACTGGGTTCGAATCTTGCGAGGCCGGATTGTGGGTGTGCACTGCTAAGAAGTCTCATACTAGGATGAAACAGCCATCCAGTGATTCCAGATTTTCCATGGTGGTCTAACTTCAGTTGACTCATGAATTTCATTATTAAGTTAATACAATGAATGTTTCATGAATTGTAACAATATTATTGTGATGATCAAACTTTGTAGACAGAAACTAAATGTACTTCAAGTTCGAATTGTTATGTTATTATTTTGTATTGTAATGTAGTATTATTGTCCTATTTAGATTCTTAATAGTTTTTGTTGTATTGTATTAATGTTAACTGATGTTAACTAAGGTTTGATTTGATTATTTTTATATTATGATGTAATTTCAGGGAGTAGGAAACTGTTAATGAATGTGTAGAGAAATAAAATGAATTCATAGGAATTCGCTCAAGTTGTTGGTTAAGTGTTTTTGCAAGTTAATCGTGGATGCGCACTGCTGAGGAGTCCCTAAGTAGGACGAAACGTCTATCCAGTGGTTCTAGATTTTCCACGGTGGTCTAGCTTCAATTTACTCATGATCTCAACTATTAAAATTGATTATTATTATTGATGGATTTATTCAATATTATATTTTTGGTCGATCCTGACGATAACATATTGAGTGATCGCCAGTTAGATGCTAGGAGTTCAGGAATCGACATCTGAATAATGTATGTTCATTGCGCTGTATATTGCCAGCGACCATGATGACTCTGATTGGACACTTTAGTGACTTGTGTAGTTCTACTGCATGGGGTGGAAACTTTGAGAACTACGAAAGTCATCATCCAGAAGATACAAGTGTTTATTAACAGTTGTCTACGCAAAATACTTCGGATCTGTTGGCCACGCACTATCAGCAATAACTTACTGTGGGAGAGAACAAACCAGGACAAAGCAGTGGAGGAAGAAATCAGGAAGATGCGCTGCAAGTGGATAGGACACACATTGAGGAAAGCACCCAACTGTGTCACAAGACAAATCCTCACATGGAATCCTCAAGGCTAAAGGAGAAGTGGAAGATCAAAGAACACATTACACCGAGAATTGGAGACAGATATGTGAAGAGTGAACAACAATTGTATAGAACTAGGAAGGAAGGCCCAGAACAGAGTGGGCTGCAGAATGCTGGTTGGTGGCCTATGCTCCATTGGGAGTAACAGGCGTAAGTAAGTATGTAATAGCGGGATGTTGTAAACTTTCCATTAAACGCACCTGAATATGATGTGCGAATAATAGTCATAATGATGTGTTAAAACAAGCAAAAACAGATAACTTATTGAAATGTCTAGAGGACAGAAACTAGTAGCCTAGATGTTCAATCAATTTTTTAATGAATCGCGAACAATTACCGACTTCAAAAAATTTCAAACTGGTTATTCTATACAAATCAGTGTGAATTAATTAAAGACAACATTGTCTGATTGAATGTTAGTTCTGACTTAAATAATTCACTGATAATGTCTTCATTTGTGGTACAAAGTGACATGAATTAACTTCCCTGATATAATATCATAGATGAAGACGAATTGCAACCATCATATAACATTTGTTTAGAGAGATTCTTAACAATTGCTTCGAATAAACTTATTGATAAAGAAAGTATTATCCTAAAGCTTTCGACAATTCAACTGAAACTTTGAAACGTAAGCTATTCATTAGGAATTCATGATGACTATAAACTTGTTATAGAAGACCATGACATGGCTCAGAATCGATCACAATGGCAAAAGTATATACACTCTTTGTCTACCCTTAAACGATGAAATTAAAATTACTTTATCATCTTTCTTTCTACCAATTAATTCTTCTTTCCTGTACTATGTAATTATATGGAATCTTTCTTTTATATATTGCCCCCATTGAATTAACTACTTCTATGAATTCGGTGTTCGTCTTGTTGTGCTAATGAGGTGTGGCAAATTGGACCGATGTATATATGTACCTGGTCCTACGTTGTAGCTGACCGATTGACTGATGTTTTTATTTAAATCTTTAATATAGTCACAGAAGTTTAATGATTAAAAAATTCCTCTATTTTACTTTGTTTACTACATTATAATTATTTTAGACAAAGTCATTCAGGGAACTTATATGTGGATAATGGTTGTCATTCTGTTGTCATTATTGAAATGCAAATAAACTTCATGTAAATTTAGCATTAACTTCGCCTGTAGCTCTTCTAGAGTTACTGTCTGTCCCGAACCCACACAAAGGTGGAGGGTTGGGCATGGGATCGGCAACCCCATCCCGTAGAAAACAACCTTGCTAAAAAAAAACAGTAACCAGAATTAAATTTAAAGTAATTCTAACAATCTAAGTAACCAATGGTCATGTTCACATGTAAAACATTGTACACTGTTGAGGCTATCAACAATCATATTCAAAAACCTAAACTTTGTGTTCAAAAATATAGTTGATACAACCCGACCCTTTCTTTCTACAATGATCATCAATATCAGTCGCATATAACGTTAAGTTATCATGTTAATCTGATGAATCCTTCTTTCTGAACTATTCTAAATTGTTTTCTCATTTGTGTTCTTACGTAACTTTAGTATTTATCCCTTTGTTCTTACATAACATACACTGATTTGTTATTCAATCATACTTACTTACGCCTGTTACTCCTCGTGAAGGAACATATGCCGCTCACCAGCATTCGTCATCCAACCCTGTCCTGGGCAATCCTTTCTAGCTCCTTCCAGTTGCTATTTATCCTTTCCATATCTGATTTTGATTTCCCGACGTAACGTGTTCTTTGACCTTCCCCTTTTCCGCCTTCCTTCAAGATTCCAATCATAATAATTATTTAATTCGTTTACTATATTTTATGTAATCTGCCAATTATTGATTGGGATTTTTTCAAGTGATTACTTCGGTTATTATGTAACTACATTGTCCTTCTATTTCCCATGACTTGGTCATTTGATTTCAGTGTCATAATCACTTGTGAAATAATAATAATAATAATAATAATAATAATAATAGAATCATGGTAAAGCCTTATTGGCAAGAATTATTCCTTTGGTTTTGTTATAACTCTCAGTTTTACTTCGTCTACACGTATGGGACGTTAATTTGCATTAGACGAATGTCTACACTAGATCCCCCACCTAATGTCTATTCTACAGGACTTCAACAGAACTCAGATTGAGAACACGTGATTAGCCTTACTAAAACGTAAATATATTTCCACACCAAAAAACCGACAACAATCCAACAACAATGAACAATCAATCATTATCATCCTCACCCACACCTCAGGTTTATTGATCTTTTTTACTATATTAGGCAAATCTAGACCTGATACTCTTAAAATAACACCTTCTATACCGCTGATCTTGTTGTGTTCTCCGTACGAGATAACATAAATGGAACGTATTAATAGTCGTTATTGACGTAATCATCAGCACTCACCTTATCTAGGTCAGAGAATACAACTACATCAATAAACATCCACTTGAGCTCCAAATATTCTCCATCATTTCAAAAATGTTCTTCATGGTTTTGTAAAATAAAACTTCAGTGTTCGATCTCTACATATTTTGACTACACTTTTTTCAGAAATATATGAGGAGTCTACAGAAGAATAGAAAGAAACTATATCACGAAGTGACTCGGCATTTCAAATATCAGTCGGGGGGTCATATGATGATTGAGAGTTTAAAAAAGTGTAGTATCATAGTTGTCTCTCATACTCCTCATATTGTGAAACACGACGCTAGGCAGTAGTACTGAATGTGCTATACCAAGAACTTACAAAGTATTTACACAACACATATACATAGTCTTCAACTGTCCATTTGTATCATTCGGTGTGTCCTGCCATTTGAACTGTCTTGTCGTATGTTCTTCGAGTGTTCTGCCGATGCCTTACTTTTGATGCAATGAAACTTTTCACTCCGTTTGACAATTATAGCAACTTCAACGTCATGTTCTGCTATACACTACTTACAAACAATCTTGTGAGTAGTGTCCACTACAATATCTCTAACCAACAAGTCGTCGTCATTCTCTTATTCTTCTCTAACTTCTAGATCATTATTGCAATCTCCTTTTGATATTTCATTTCTTCGATCACTTTTTGATATAATCTCTTCATATTCTTCTATAGCCTCAAATGACCATTAAACAGATATTCTTGTGTATATGATTTATGTGTGTGTCACAATGAAGTCTAAAATTAGGATGAAATTGAAGTCTGATATGGACTGAATTTCAATAACTCATCAGTTATGATAATAACTTTATTGTATTTTACCTTTCTGAATATGAAGTCCATGAGAAGTACAGAAGACAAGTATTGATAAAACAGTTCAAAATATAATCTTAACAGTTGAGATCATTAGTCAATTGAAGCTATACCATCATGGAAAACCTGGAAGCAATGAACGGTCGTTTCATTAATTGACTCATGATCTCAATTATT